CTGTTACGAGAATAAATGAAATACCTTACTTTTGAGTCAATCGAGGACGATCGGATTTAAAGGCGGAGGAGTTAAGAACCAAAATATTTACAATTAAATTTAAATACTTCAGGTCATTGCACGTTAAAGCTTACCTAAGCAAATTAGCAACAAAGGTAATAAACTTATGTTGCAATACTTTTAAACATAATTGCTGACTTTGCGTCTGGGTGAAATTTATTGAATATTGCATTATTTATTATTTTAAACAGGGTTTAATATTTAGTTTTTAGTTTTATTTTTTTAAATGTCGACTGAACTGAAGAAAGTTCAAGTATTTATTTTTCCCTCACAAGCTAACTGAAGTCAGTCAACTGTGTCAACGCACTGCTGCAATAACTTGCAAGTGGTTTTGTTTTTCTTCAGCAGCCACACACACAAGCAGCGGCCATGTTAAGTTTTTCAACTCAGCCGAACTGAACACAAGACTGAACAGTAAAAACAGATTTGCGTGTGCTGCTTACGTATTGCTTAGTTCTTAGTTTCGTTTTCTTACTAAGGGACGTAAAAAAAACGGATAGTTTGACTGGTTAGTAAAAATCAAGCCGACTGAACAATAAAACTTGATGGGTTGTTTGTTCAGTAAGACTTTGTTATTGTATGCAATTTGTTTTAGTATATTGTATGTTTTTGTGTTTAAAGTTGACAAAAGTAAATAAAGTAATTGATAATTATTGCTAATAGAAATTGTTAATTAATTTAAAATTTATAAAATTATAAATTACTATACTTATAAATTTAGATATTTTCTTTAAATAAAAATTGATTTAAATTTAAGCATTTTGATGATTTTTTAGTGAGATTTTGTTATTGTATGTATGTATGTATATTAGGGTGGGTCGAAAATAGGCTTTTCGCTCGGATCAACATCTAATAGTGAAATTGTGTTGTATTTTAACGTCAAATGGAAGACTGTAAAATATTTATTATTCAATAATTTTGAGGGTAAGAGCCCGCGCATCGCTGCCAAAGTTTGTAAATGCGTTTATATGGGAAAAATTGCACTTTTTGGAGTTTTTTCACAAAATGAGGCATTAAGTATTAATTATTACACCATTTTATAGCAAAATCGTAATGTCTACAAAATTGTCTTTCCAAAAAGATGGAAAAACTCAAAATTCGTTAAACAAATTTTGAGTTATTAAAATTGTTAGTTTTGAAAAATTTTACAAAAAAATATTATGTTTATCTTTATAAGGTTCATAAATGTGCTAGTACGAATTTTTGTTCAAATTGGATAACGCTTACTCGGTTTAGTCTGTGGTCAAAAAAGGGCCATTATTTTAACAGCATCTCCAAAACTCCATTTTCAAACTTTAAAAACTTTTGTTAAATGGATTATTAAAAATTAAAGTTTTCTATGCTGGATATTATAAAGGATATATATAAGAATTAAACACAGAAAGAATGAGCTTAATACCTCTCATAGTTTTACCGTACCTGCGATGTGAATTTGAAGGATTTCGGGAAAAAGGCAATTTTTGCCAGTAATTAAGTAAAAATTATATTATTACCAATTGTTGCTTAATTTTGATCAATTAAATTGCGATTATTATTTCCGAGTCCATGAAAAGTTATTTCTGATAAAATTTCCGAAATTAAAAATCATTAACCCTCTAAAAACCGGGGTCAAAATCAAGTTTTTGTATATTTAATATTCTTCATTAAAAATAGCAAAATATTGTGTATTTAATTATGAATTCATTTTGACAAACTACACGAAAATATATCCAGAAATCTAGGAATCAAACTTCTTCAAAAATTAACCCTCTGTCATACTTGGGGTCAATTCAAGACCGATTTTTTTAACACTACAAAAAACACTTTTATAAAGGAATTTTCTAAAATTAATTTTCTTAAAGATTTAATGGATATATCCAGTATTTGGTTTATCGTATTATTTGAATGTAGTAAAAATAACTTCTAAGAAGTTTCATCAATATCCATCAACAAATTAACAACATCATGCTCTTATTTCTTCAAGAACATAAAATTCAAAAATTTGATTTTGACCCCGGTGTTTAGAGGGTTAATGATTTTTAGTTTCGAAAATTTGATTAGAACTAACTTTCCATGGACTCGGAATTTACTTGATCAAAATTAAGCAACAATTTGTAATAATATAATTTTTACTTAATTATTGACAAAAATTGCCTTTTTCCCGAAATCCTTCAAATTCACATCGCAGGTACGGTAAAACTATGAGAGGTATTAAGCTCATTCTTTCTGTGTTTAATTCTTATATATATCCTTTATAATATCCAGCATAGAAAACTTTAATTTTTAATAATCAATTTAACAAAATTTTTTAAAGTTTGAAAATGGAGTTTTGGAGATGCTGTTAAAATAATGGCCCTTTTTTGACCACAGACTAAACCGAGTAAGCGTTATCCAATTTGAACAAAAATTCGTACTAGCACATTTATGAACCTTATAAGGATAAACATAATAGTTTCTTGTAAAATTTTTCAAAACTAACAAAAATTTTCTTATATTTACTTTTATATGTCTTCAGAATCACTAAATTCTCGGGGGAAATTTTAATAACTCAAAATATGTTTAACGAAATTTGAGTTTTTCCATCTTTTTGGAAAGACAATTTTGTAGACATTACGATTTTGCTATAAAATGGTGCAATAATTAATACTTAAAGCCTAATTTTGTGAAAAAACTCCAAAAAGTGCCATTTTTCCCATATAAACGCATTTACAAACTTTGGCAGCGATGCGCGGGCTCTTACCCTCAAAATTATTGAATAATAAATATTTTACAGTCTTCCATTTGACGTTAAAATACAACACAATTTCACTATTAGATGTTGATCCGAGCGAAAAGCCTATTTTCGACCCACCCTAATATACATACATACATACATACATACATACAATAATCTCACTAAAAAATCATCAAAATGCTTAAATTTAAATCAATTTTTATTTAAAGAAAATATCTAAATTTATAAGTATAGTAATTTATAATTTTATAAATTTTAAATTAATTAACAATTTCTATTAGCAATAATTATCAATTACTTTATTTACTTTTGTCAACTTTAAACACAAAAACATACAATATACTAAAACAAATTGCATACAATAACAAAGTCTTACTGAACAAACAACCCATCAAGTTTTATTGTTCAGTCGGCTTGATTTTTACTAACCAGTCAAACTATCAGTTTTTTTTACGTCCCTTAGTAAGAAAACGAAACCAAGAACTAAGCAATACGTAAGCAGCACACGCAAAACTGTTTTTACTGTTCAGTCGTTGTGTTCAGTTCGGCTGAGTTGAAAAACTTAAGATGGCCGCTGCTTGTGTGTGTGGCTGCTGAAGAAAAACAAAACCACTTGCAAGTTATTGCAGCAATGAGTTGACACAGTTGACTGACTTCAGTTAGCTTGTAAGGGGAAATTTTAACGAGTTACTATTTTTTAAGCATGGTACTAAATTTAGTCAAATATTTAGTAATTTGCGACTGCAATTAGCAGTTTTTTGAAACCCTGATTTTAAGTAAAAATATAATTTAGTATCAGTTCAATTGTAACTCTTCATTAATTAACATTAAAAAAATAAAGAACGCTTCAGACATTAGTCTGAAGCTATTTTAAAAAAACTAATAATAAAACGTTAGTTTAATTTGTATATGGTTTTTGTTTCTTGGTGCATTCAGTTTCGTATGTTTGGATGTCTGTTGGTTTCATTGCGTTGTGTATTTTGTTTTTGTTTTTTTTTAGTATTTCGTTTTGTATGTTTCATTGCCATGTGTATATTGTTTTTGTTTCTTGGTGTATTCAGTTTCGTATGTTTGGATGCTGTTGGTTTTACTGCCTTGTGTATTTTGTTTTTTGTGTGGTTATTTCGTTTAGCGTTGTTGTTGTTCATTTTGTTTTACTATTGCTATAATAACGATATCGTCCGGAAAAAGAAATAAATTTAAATTTTATGAAATTGATATTTATTAAATACACTATGGTGAAGGGTATATAAGATTCGGCAAAAAATATGTGTTTTGAAAAATGTTTTTGCAAAACATCATTAAAGAGGGAATGGTTCCTCTCTGACGTGATTTTCTTAATAAATGTTCTACAACATGGATTTCTGAAATGATACAAAATATATTAAACAAAATACATAAATTTGAATAATTCAATGGAGAAAGAGGGTATGGGTAGTATTTTTGGTACTGTGTTAGTATCTTTTATAAATATAGTTCAAATTCAATGAGATTTCTTTTATAGCTTTATAAGATCACAAAAAATTGCAAGGAGTTTCTTTATAAGGAGACCTTCAGCATTTTTTGAAACATGAATAAGTTAGGGAAAAATTAGCACTTTATGCTTTAAGTCAAGAATTATTCTTTCTCCTAAGTTAAATATGTATATTATAGTTTTACCTAACTAGATATTATTAGAATTATAATTTTGGAATCTTTTAGCTTTGTAAATTGGGAAAAAAATTGTGAAGGAATCTCTTAGTGAGGAATAAAATGAGTAAACTTTTTTCATTTCGTAAATACTATATTATGTCAACGAAATTTTTATATTTCTAAATGTTGAAAAATTTCAGAAATTGATCTATGGACATAAAGCACATTTTTTAGTTTACTCTAACGGGAGAATACTTAAGTATAATGTTATGAAACCACTTAAAACCCCGGGCAACGCCGGGTACAAAAATCTAGTTGTCTATAAATAACTACAGACATATCTTTAAGACAAATTATTAAAATAATTACAATCAACAATTCTTTAAAAACAAATTAGATTGATCTATAAAAGGGGACTTGCTGATACTTTTTCGTTTTACAACTGGTATTTTTTGATTTTTTGTAATATTTTTTTTGTACTGGCATCATTAACACAGGGTATATAAGATTCGGCACAGCCGAATATAGAACTCTTACCTGTTTTTTAAAAGCGATATTCCCTACTTAAAAATTTTATTGTCTTATTTTTTTGAAGGCTCTCAATGCTGCCAGAGCAAAACAATTGCGGATTAAGTTTGAAAAATGGCAAGCCGATGAAATAAAACGAGAGAAGGATGATGAATTTAATCAAAACATATATGCAAATAATGTCTCGGATGAAAACAGCATCGAAAGCACTCAGTCGTAAGTTAATTATTTCAAACATATGTATATATAATATAACAAGATATAATAAAAATGCTAATTTTCTACGTTGCACAGTGTCGGATTTTGCCAAATTAGAGGGACTAGATTCAAAATTTGATTGATTTTCCCTTAGTTTGAATTCAATATGAAATGCAATTGTCCAAATAGTAAACAAATGTATCTAAAAGTGAAGAAATTTGAACCAGAATGGAATAACGGTACTCTAAATGTCGTGTTTATTACAGAAAATTAAAATCAATTTGTACCTGATGCATGCTCCCTTAATGTTATAACTTTTTAGTTTTTGAATATTTAATTTTTTTATTATTTAATTTAATAAGTAAGTACAGACATTTTTCATAGACACAAAAACATAGATTACCACTTGATTCCGGAGTTCTATTGTCCCCATATGATGTTGGCTTTATAATTTTTTTAAAATTTTTGTATACCCAATACTCTTTTTAAACGTTCAACATGTACTCGCAAATGTTACACCAGTACATTTTCTATGTTTGGCGTTCAGCTGTGCCATTTATTTTACGAAATAACATCAATAAAAATTAAAAAAGAAATTACTAGGTTAGTTTACGTTGATAGGAGAATGTAACTTCATCAAATCCGAAGAAGTACACCTAGGTCACTATCGGGCCTGTTGTAACAATAAAAACCTTTATAGTATTCACTGAATTTATTATAATCCGAAGTTCAGAAGCCCAGTTTCCAGAACGTAATTCATAAAAATTTTCTATCAGTATTCTTGAGGCATGTTATATCCAAAATAATATTACTCCCAACATATTTGGATCTAATTTGGGCGAAAGCCTGACAATGTCAAAGAAAGTGCTCCAGAGTATCACTGCCTTCTCTACATGCTCTACTTTCGTCATAATCCGTACGACCAATTTTGTATAGCTGTGCCCGTAATTCTGTGTGTCCACTCAGATGGTACGATACTAACGTCAGACTTGTTCATTTTAAGGAGGCTTCTTGTCCTGCTCTTGTTAGGATCACCCTATAATGTCTTTGTGGTCCTATCTTCCGTTTCGATATTCCAAGAGGACTTATAGGTTTCTCTTATATATAATTTTAATTCTGCCCTCGTTGCGTTAAATTTTATTGCATTTGTCAGGTTAACTACCTCGAGCTCCCTTCGCTCTTTCGTCGCCAACTACACCTGAGTGTCCCGATACCCATATGATGTATGCCTTACCTCTGGAATAGTATTCGGTTAGAGTTTTATTACAATCTAATACGATCTTAGATGTAACATACACATTTGATATAGCCCTAATTGCCATCTGGCTGTCGGTAAATATGTATGTTAAGCCCTGAGGGTGCCATAATTTTTCTAATCCAATTTACGCGTTCTCTTATTGATAGGACTTCTGTCGGGAAGCTACTGTTGTAATTAGGTATACGGTGGTATTTTATGGGACTTTAATAATATAACCCGAGGACCACTTTGTCCCCCAATTAAGAGTCATAGGTGTAGCAATGGTTTCCTACGGGTATTTGCTCAAATGTTCCGCTAAACCAAGACATTCTATCTGGGATCAGCATTTCAAAGTTTCCGACATATTCTGTGTCTGGTATGCGATCAGAGACATCCGATGATTGTGTATAGCCTTCCAATGTGTCCGGTAGCTGTAAGTATCTTAAATATGTTTCAATGGGTGTAATATCTATCAACGTTTCCAGAGCCTTGGTTGACGTTGTGCTCATGTCATCATTTATACCCAAGCATCATGTACGCTGAAAAAAGTAAAGAAAATAATTTTTATTTGTTTCATGTTTACATTTGGATATTAAAATAACAAATTCATTTTCTGAAGTGGCACTTGTAACTATATTAAATTTCGTCGCTAAACTGGTATTATGAAGACAGTTATGAGCGTTAAAGTAATTTTCTGTAGGGGATCTTATGAATGAAATTCACACATATCTCTCCAGGTTACTCAAACGTTATATATGTCATTATAAAGGCCTCAGATTCTGCTTTCTAAATCCGTGGAGAAACTTAAAATCGGTTCAGATTTAACTATGTTACTGACTTATAAGTGACTAAAGGTACGAAAAACCGGTTTTTTACCCGTAACTCAAAATTTTGGAGGTGTTTGGAAAATTTCAAAAACATATTCTTGTTCTACTCGGATCCATCTTTCAGAAAAATAGTATCACTTCCCAGGTATTTATTTTTGTCGCATAGTGTAATACTTTAAAGATATTGTGATACTATTCTTGCATCAATTAGCAGAAAATACTTTATTAATTCTTATTAAATCATTTATCTTAGAATTTCGGCAAATTAGCACAGTATCTGTTTATGAAAAATTTCAAATAAGTATAGAAGTTGCAATTATACTTTAAATTAAATTTGGAGGACATAATCTGCTAAGTACGTAGACTATTCCCACCAAATTCCATAAAAATCGAAATGCGAAATACAGCCTACTTCGTTTTTTCATATAAGTACCGCGAGTTCTTTACATAAAAAGTTCCAATAGAAATATTAACGGAAGGACGGACGAGTTTGAATCGACCCAAAAAGTGATTTTAAGTTCATGGATGCACCAAAAGGAGAGAGAGGATCCATTATTCACGGTGTTAGATTGGCTAGTGTAAATAAAATAATATTACGGTGTTGTTATGATTTAAATAAACTCATTTAATATGTGGAAAACGCATAGGTACTTTTGCTAAATCCTAAACCAGTTAAGATATCGAAAAATACCTCTGTGCACATAAGTATAACCAGTAGATGTACAAATTGCAGTAATAAAAAAATTTCGAATAGTAAACAAGTAAGAAATTATAGTCGGGCGAGGCCGACCATATAATACCCTATACCTGTTACAAAAAAAATGTGATTTAGTTTTCATAATAAAGCATTTAAGTTGAATTGTACCTTGCCTCAGATATACTTAAGCCATTTATTGTTGAATAAAATTGTGGACATTTAAGTCGAATTTTAAATTAAAAAAAATTAAAAATTCATGAGGATCATCAAGGCTAGTATAGAACTTGGTTTTGCAGCTTTTTGTCGAGATACCTGTAGTTTGATTACAAGGTTTACAAGCCCTATTAAGGGGTTCAGTTGTATGGGGCTAGGTGAAATAATTGACCGATCGTAACAATTTTCAATAGGCTGGGACAATAGAAGATAATGTACCAAATTTCATTTAATTATCTTCAAAATTGCGACCTGTAGTTTGATTACAAGGTTTACATGGACGGACGGACATAGCTAAATCGACTCAGAAAATGATTATAAGCCGATTGGTACACTTTAAGATGGGTATAAGACCAATATTATTGTACGTTACAAACATCAGCATAAACCCAATATACCCTCCCCACTAAAGTGCTGTAGGGTATAATAACCAATTTTGGTTAATAATAACCAAAGTGGCAACACTGGCCAGAATTGATATAATTACACTTTTATAAAGCCAATGTGTCATAGTAGGACTAAGACCCCATTTCATGCATATTGTTCTCCTACATATCGCCTAGCACAAATTTGCATTGTTCATCCTATCCTCTATGTGGTGTCGCCATTTTATTTTCCAAGAATTACACCTAATTACACCTAAGTACTTAGCTCTGACTGCCACCGATATCCTCTTGCCTAGGAATCAGGGTTCAGTATACTTAGAAAATTTTGTCTTTCTTGTGAAAATACAGATTTCCGTCTTTGCTGAGTTAACATTGAGGCCTCTCGGTTGAACCCAGCTTAAGGCCGTATTGAAAGCCTCATCGGCTCTTCTACACAATTAATTTGGATCCTTACCCCTTAGAAGTATTACACACCGTCTGCATGGCAGACAGGTCTAAGTACTTTTTCGGTTAGGGTCCTTAGGAGGCTATTAATCGTAGTTTCCCAGAGTAAAGGGGACAAAATGCCACCGAAATACTCTTTGCCTGATAGTTATATCGTACATTTCGCAGCTTATCCATCTCTTTAGCATGTAGTTGTTCCAGTTAGGGAGCACCCGGTCAACATGGTCTAAGGATTTGATAAGAGTATCCATGTTCACGTTATTGAAGATGCCTTCGATGTCAATGCATACTACCAGTAAATACAGTTTGCTATCGAAGGATTCACCTATATAGTGGACAACTTCATTTAACGCGGTTTCCACCGATCGTCCCTTTACACAAGCATACTGCTTACATTTGAGGTCTTTGTCTGGTATACTGCTTTTAACCATAATATCGACTATCCGTTCCAAGGTTTTAAGTAGGAAGGACGTAAAGTTTATCGTCGATGAGTCTTAGGTGTCGCATAACTAGGTTTTTCTGGTTTGGGTATAAATATTACCCATGCATCCTGTCACTGGTATATACCAGGGCGTCATGAAATAACTCCCCAAAACAAAAATGAAATAAATCCTCAAATTTTGGGACTTATTTCATTATGAAATAATTCCCCAATTTAAAAATGAAAAAAGCCCCAACGAAATGAAATAACCTCCTAAATTAAAATGAAATAACACCCCATTTTTGGGGTTTTTTTCATATGAAACAAATCCCTAATTTTAAAATGAAAAAAGTTCCCATTTAAAAATAACAAATTATGGAACAAGTCGGTTTTAGTGACATTTCTAAAAAAGTAGGTCGCTCATACTTTCGAGTGGGGCTTCAAATTTTAATACATTTCGGTTTAATCGCTTAATAAAGATTCCCTTAATAGCCGGACGCAAGGACTTTCTACTCTATGGTATGTCCAACAACGGCTTCGCTTAATAAATATTTCCTAAAAAGCCGGCCTACGGCCTGACGCAACGATTTATCGCTCTATAATATGACCAAGGCTGAACACTGTACCCCAGAGGATAAAACCCTTGCGCCCGGACGAAGGCCGGCCATCAGCCATATGCTTTTTTATTTCGTGTGATAAAAGTAATATAATGAAATAACTCCCCAAAAATATTTTTAGGGATTTATTTCAATTTTGAGGAATTATTTCATAATGAAATAACTCCCCATTTTAAATGTGAAATAATGCCCCAAAAAACGAATTAAATCCTCAAATTTCTTTGTTTTTTCTTTCTGAACAAATTTGTATGGAGTCATTTCATTTCTGTTTTGGGGAGTTATTTCGTGGGGAGTTATTTCATGACGCCATATACCAGTTTTAAGCATGTAGTGTAAATCTTTAAAAGAAGTACGAAAACTGGCCTACCTTCATCTGCAAAAGTGCCGGGAAAATACCATCCGATACTGAAGCTTTATAGGGTACAAAGCTCTTAATAACTATCTTTGTGTTAGCCTCCCCTTTCCCCAAAATCAGTTCATCTATGGTACTCAATATACCAGGTGGAAAATGCGAGTCCATTAGGAGTTTCAGTTTCATCGATGATAGATTCGGGTTGGACATGAGTTTTCGATAGGAATTTGTATCTTCGATACGTAATTTACGCTATCTACCTGTTCGCAGAAAAGTTTCCAGGAGTCTCGTTTGGCTTTTCGAACGATATTCTTATATTCACCATCTTTTTACGCAGTGCCCGGTTAAATCGTTTGCGAAGAGTCTTCCCTATGTCCCGGATTTTCCCTGTTACCCAGGGTTTCTCCTGGGCAGATCTCAGCTCTCGCATAGAGCTGCTGTCCTCGAACGATTCAACCAGGGCACTTGTAAACGTTTCTACATTGACGTATATACCCTCTTTATTTCGACATTGAAAAGTCTCCTGTCCTAAACGGTTCTTTAGTAAGGCCCCGAACATTGTCCAATTAGTTTTTGGCTTATTCCAAAATTTTATCGGCTATAGTGGTGGTCGTAGTATGAATCTTATGTACCGATGGTCTGAAGAAGAGTGAACGAGCCGCTCTTCTGAGGTCCCTTTGAGTGGCTTGACTTCGACTGTATATTAGAAGACGGGGAGCTCTTTTTCTTCTTAGGTTTATTCTCAGTTGTCAAATCTTCTTTGCCTCAGCTTTCTCCTCTGTGCTTTCTATATCATCCTTTTTGGGATTCGCTATGTTGGTGTTGTTATTATCATCTGTGGATTCAGAGTCGGAACCATCACCTATGTTTAAATGCTGAGGAAGCTTAGAGCTCTCTGCGGGTACATCCTACACTTTCACCCCTCTTTTGCTCACGATTGCAGGATGAGTCGCGAGCAAATAAACACTTGCCGCCGATACTGGGTTATTTAGGACCTACAACAAATTTTAGTTTAGAATATATATATATATATATATATGTATATATATATATATATATATATATATATATATATATATATATATATATATATATATATATATATATATATAATCCCCACATGAATTTATTAGAAAAATTCTTATATCTGAGAAACTATTAGATGTGGAATCTTTAAATATTACATGAAGTACTTTCACATTAATGTGAACATTTAGGGAATAATTGGCGGACTTTAAATGGGGGACTTGGCACTTCCCATATTAATTAAATACAAAAATTAATTTATCTGGGAAACTAATAGAACTAGATTCTTCAAATTTTGTATAAATTACTTTAATATTCAACTGAACATTTTGGGGGAAAACGAGCGGACTTTGAATATGAATTAATTAGAAAAAATCGTATATCTTAGAAACTATTAGAGCTAGAATCTTCAAATTTTACTTGAAAAACTTTGACATTCATCTGAACAATTAGAGTATAACGGGCGGACTTTCAATGGGGAACTTGACAACTCCCATATGACTTAAATATAAAATTTCGTTTATCTGGGAAACTAATAGAACTAGATTCTTCAAATTTTGCAGAAATTACTTCAATAATCATCTGAATATTTTGGAGGAAAAAGATCGGACTTTCATCTGGGGAGCTTGAAGCCACCACATGAATGAAATAGAATAATTGTTTATCTGGAAACTACTAGAGCTAGAATCTTAAAATTTTACATAAAAAACTCTGACATTCAAGTGAACATTTAGAGAATAACGGGCGAGCTTTCAATTGGGGGCTTGGCACTACATAAATGAATTAAATACAAAATTTCGTATATCTTGGAAACTATTATATTATTCAAATTTTTCATAGATAGATAGAAATTGGCGAACTTTCAGTAATTTGCTTGGCATCTCTAATATGTAACATATTGTAAATCTAGAGAACTATTGCAGTTAGAATCTTCAAAATCGTTAAGTGGGTTTTTTATTTATACTGCTTTTAGGGTAGCAAAGCACATATATATAGGGTAGCAAAGCACATATATGTAAATATATTATTGACCGCTTGTGCAGTAAATTTATTCTTTTGTTTATCATTTTTTATGATTTTGTAATTTTTTATTTTTTCGGCTCGAGAAATAATAATTTTGGGAAAAACAATAAAATGTAATCAGCTGTTTGTTTTAATTTCGTGCGAAAGAAGTGCTGCTTACGTTATTTCGTAAGTTGGAAAACAAGGTTGCCAGATAAATTTCACAATGTTTTTCAAAATAAAAACAGAGTACTGCTTTTGCGAAATTATTTCGCAAATATTTCATACCAAATATTTTATATGTGGTTTGACAGAATTTCGCACGAAATTTTGAACAGAGTACCTAACTTTAGATTTATAAATGTGAATCTATAAAAGGGGACTTTTTGGTACTTTTTCTTGCTTCGATTGGTACTTTTTGAGTTTTCTATAAAATTTATCCTAGAAACATGAAATTAAATATGTAGAACCCGCAGTAAATGGGAATCTATAAAAGGGTACTTTTTCGTTTTTCGAAAAGTACTTTTTGAATTTTCTATAATATTGAACCTAGAAACATAAAATTAAGCATGTACAACCCGGATTAAGTGAATTTTCTATAAAATTGAACCTAGAAACATAAAATTAAGCATGTAGAGCCCGGATTAAGTGAATTTTCAATAATATTCAACCTAGAAATATAAAATTAAGCATGTAGAGCCCGGATTAAGTGAGAACCTATAAAAGAGACTTTTTGGTACATTTTCGTTCTTCTGAATTTTCTATAATATTGATCCTAGAAACATGAAATTAAGCATGTGGAGCCCGGAGTTAATGAGAATCTATAAAAGGGCGCCCTTTGGTAATATTTCGTAATTCAAGTGGTACTTTTTGAGTTTTCTATTATAATGAACCTAAAAACATAAAACTAAGCAGTCAGGGAATGAAAATTTAAACTGGAGTATTTTCTGATACTTTTTCGTTCTTTAACTGGTACTTTTTGAATTTTCTATAATATTGAACTTAGGAAAATGAAATTAAATAAAATAGTTCTTTTGGTACTTTTTCGTACTTCAACTGGTACTTTTTGAGTTTTCTAAAATATTGAATATATAAACGTAAAATTAAACATACAGTATTCTGATTGAACGAAAATTTGAAAAGGATACTTTCAGATACTTTTTTGTTATTTTACTAATACTTTTAGAATTTTTATAATATTGAACCTAAAATTGAACACGCAGCTTAGTGATTGTATAAAAATCTGTATGCGAGGTATACATAAAATCAAACTTACAGAGTTCTCTGCAGATATAATGATATTTATTATTTATTCCATTACGATGAGGGTAGCGAAGCACACTGGATATAGCTAGTTTTAAATAAATTTGCAATCATATTTAAGATTTCGAATCTGTAATATTTTTTACAAATGAATGTAGAATGCCCTATTTTGACCGTTTTTAAACCCCGTGTCCATACCTTCACCCTTAATAATTTCAAAATGCAGAGTTTAGTCCCCCTAAATTTTAAAAATCTGACACTGCGCGTGGATGTTTTTGTATTCAGTACATTAATTATATATTTATATATTTCTTTAGAATAAGGGATCGATTTGAAAAAATGCGGAATGTTGAAAGACCAGAACCAACTCGACCACGGTATCAAGTTAATCGCTTTGTTGTAAGTTATTTTTTATTATCGAAGCATACATTCAGAGAAATTCAATGTATTTCAACAATATTTTAGTCTGCGACACTAAAATATTTTTGAAATTTTAAAAAATAGTTCTGTATAGTTCTAAAATTGTTTTACAAATATTTGTATTTTTCTCACCTTGCAATATTTCGAAAACCCTTCAATTACAAACATTTCACCTGTTATGAAATTAATAATAACAAGTAAGAGTGCTATATGTATTCGGCTGTACCGAATCTTATATATCCTTCACCATAATGTATTTAAAAAATACAAATTTTATAAAATTTTAATTTATTTTATTTTCTCGACTACATATATCATTATTATAGCAATAGCAAAACAAAATGAACAACAACAACGCTAAACGAAATAAACACACAACAAGTAAGAGTGCCATATTCGGCTTTTCGAATCTTATATACCCTTCACCAAAGTGTATTTAAAAAATATCAATTTTATAAAATTTAAATTTATTTTATTTTCCCGACTACATCATTATTATAGCAATAGCAAAACAAAATAAACAACAACAACAACGCTAAACAAAATAAACACACAAAAAACAAAATACACAAGGCAGTAAAATCAACAGACATCCAAACATAGGAAACGAAATACACAACAAGTTAGAGTGCTATATTCGGCTCTGCCGAATCTTAAATACCCTCCACCTTAAACTGGTTTCATAAATTATCAAATTTTATGGATTGATTCAAATTTACCTTAATATTTTAGACTTACTTTCATTACGCCTTACAATATGGAATTAAAAACAAAACTACCACTTAACAGACTGTTACAGAGCATACTAAATTTAACCTAGGTTCTGTATTTGAAATAATTTCTATGTGTGAGAGAAATGTATGGTAATAGTTATAAAACTTATATAATGTTGTACGGGAGGTACAATAGATTTTCAACGTTGTTGATCCTATGAAGAAAAAAATTGCTTTTAAATTTTTATTGTTGAACCGAATTTCGACACTTAATTTGATTAAAAAAAATAAATAAATATTTATAACAAAAAAGATAAATCGACCAGGAATCGAACTTGCAATGCTCAGTTTACTAATTCTCCCTTCCATCCACAGCACCACTTTATTGTTTTGTCCTTCGTTAACTAATATTTTTAATATAAAAATGCCATGTTATTTTCTGTTTGTACAAAACATTGCTGCTGAATAACTTTTATCAACACTGATGTTGCTGAATAGCATAAGAAATTATCAGTTACACTTTCTCAATGTGCGCATTTTATTTGATCTTGGGTAAACAACATTTTTTTACACAAACAGGAAAGAGAATTTCTATGTGAACATTAGTTGTAAACAATTACGAAGCTAGTTGATAGTGTAGTGGGAATGGCGTAAAACTAGCAACTGGGAGATTTTAAGTTCGAATCCTGTTCGTTTTGGACAGTTTTTATTTAATTTTTTACGAAAAATAATCAATTTTTTAATCCCTATGGGTGGTACAAGAAATTGTGGACTGATTTCGATTTTCAACTCAGTGGATTCCCAAACTATATGTATGACAAAATTAAAAAATAAATATTTGTGCCAAATCTTTTATGGATATCGTTATTTGGTAATGCGTTTAAGTTATTCTCGTAAGGGGACCTTAAATGGGAGCTATGACCAATTATGGATCGACCGTAAAAAAATTATAATAAGATTTCTGTAGATAAAAGCAATATTTGTGCCAATTTTCTATGGATATATTTATTTCGTAAAGAGTTTTATGCGTTTAAGTGATTATCGAAAGGTGACCTTGTATGGGAGCTACGACCTATTACGGACCGATCGTAAACAAATTTTAAAGTATCATTTCTGTATATAGAAGCAATGTTTGTGCTACATTTTGTATGGATACCTATATTTAGTAATGAGAAATATGTGTTTAAGTGATTTTGAGAAGGAGACCTTGTATGGGAGCTATGACCAATTGTGGACCGATCGTGAAAAAATATACAGTAGGATTTCTGTAGATAAAAGCAATATTTGTGCCAAGTTTGTATGAATATCGTTATTTGAAATGAGTTATGTGCGTTTAAAGGTTTTTCGGAAGGTAACCTTATATGGGAGCTATGACCAATTATTTACCGATTCAGAAAATTGTTTCTTTGTATGAATTCTATTGGCATAGAATTTAAATTTGTAAAATTTCGTAAAGATATCGGCATTATTTCGGATGTTATTCACAATAAATTAATTTCGGGGAATATGTAAATTTGTATGGGAGGTATATGTAATTGTGAACCGATTTTTCCGATTTTTATCAATGTTGATCCTTGCACCAAGAGTTATATCTGACAAAATTCATCAATTTATCTGCAGTAGTTTTTGTAAAAAATACAAATAAATATGTGAAAAAGCTTAATTTTTTTGAGGTTGTCTCAAATTTTTACTCATAACTCTGAACCTATTTCACCGATCTTGCTGATTTTCAATACCAAACTGCTTAGGATATCAGTGAATATTTTGGGTGAATTTCATAAAGTTCCGTTGCTTCGTTTTAACGTGAGCGTGTTTTCTACAGACAGACAGACAGACGGACATATCTAAATCGACTCAGAATTTCATAAGGACCAAGAATATATATACTTTGTTGGGTCTCAAATGAATATTTCTCGATGTTACAAACGGAATGACAAACTTATATATACCCTCTATCACCACTGAGGGTGGTGGAGGGTATAAAAACAAGTTAGAGAGATACGATGCGAGACACAAATGTGTAAATGATGGTTAAAAATATATAATCTTTTGGTCTAATATTTAAACTAAAAACGATATTTAAAAAAGTTTCCTTTTTAAAAGGGTATTGATAGAAGATATTTTTGAACTAAAATAAATAAAAAATCCACTTAATTATACTTTAGAAAAATTTCATTTAACTCATTTACACATATTTGGCGCGTTTTAGTGTTTTGTATATTCTGTTTGGGTTCACGGCAGATTCAACTCTGAAAGTCAAGATCTCGATCTATACTTCAGGCAGCTCTCTCAGAGGTCAGTTGTGTTTTTACATGAGTGTTCGTAATTGTAAACCCTATTTTACCATAAATTATCTATCGGGTTTAACTCTGGCGACTGTAGGATCCAATGTAGCTATAAAATTTTAACACTTTTTTGAAAAATCTATTGTTTTAAGCCTCATATTTGGCGTCATTATTCAGTTGTATTATAGTGTTTTCAACGTTTTGACTCTAATCATTAAAAATATCCCGATAAAATGGCTTCATAATATCAGTAGACATTTCGACATTCATGTTACCATTGATTTTATACATTTTCCGTACGCATGCTGATGAAAAATATCCCTAAAATAAAATATTTCCATCTCCAAATTCCACAATGGGCATTATGTCGCGGTCTTTTAATGGTGCATTCTGTTTTCTATATACATACTTTGGCCGATCAGGTCCAAGAAGATTAATTTGGCTCATCTATCTATCTAACATTTATTATATCGTCAAACGTCCAGTTTTTGAAAACTTTTAGAGAATTCTAATAGAAGAGCTATGAGCTTTCTGTGAAAAGAGGCTTCATAGCCCTTTCTCTAGCATGGATAGAATTGATGGATGGCATAAAATGTATGGAATCATGAATGTTGAAATTTCTATTGATATTATTAAGCCATTTAATTTGGATATTTTTAATGATTGAAAATACTATAATGCAACTGGATAATAATCAGGTTAACAATTACTAACACTCATGTAAAAACACAACAGACTTCTGGGAGAGCTGACATGAAGTATTGACGTTCATAACGCAAGAAGAATGTGGCAAACTGATCGAGATTATGACTTTCAGAGTTGAATCTACCGTGAACCCAAACAGAAGATACCAAATAATAAAAAATTTGCACTAGAAAATTTTAATTTAGAATAAAAATGTTCCTTTAGTACTACGCGCCAAAGATGTGTAAATGAGTTAAATTTATTTTTTATACCCTCCACCACCATCAGTGGTGATAGAGGGTATATATAAGTTTGTCATTCCGTTTGTAGCACCGAGAAATATTCATTTGAGACCCAAAAAAGTATATATATTCATGGTCCTTATGAAATTCTGAGTCGATTTACGATTAACTTTCACGTTAAAACGAAGCAACGGAACTTTATGAAAAATACTCATATCCTAAGCAGTTTGGTATTGAAAATCAGCAACATCGGAGAAATAGGTTCAGAGTTATGAGTAAAAATTTGAGACAACCTCAAAAAAATTGTGCTTTTTCACGTATTTATTTGTATTTTTTCCAAAAACTACTTCAGATAAATTGTTGAATTTTGTCAGAGATATAACTCTTGGTGCCAGGATCAACATTGTTAAAAATCGGAAAAATCGGTTCACAATTACATAAACCTCCCATACAAATGTACATATTCCCCGAAATTAATTTATTATTAATAACTTCCGAAATAATGCCGATATCTTTACGAAATTTTATAAATTTAAATTCTATGCCAATAGAATTCATATAAAGAAACAATTTTCTGAATCGGTCCATAATTAGTCATAGCTCCCATATAAGGTTACCTTCCGAAAAACTTTTAAACGCACATAACTCATTACCAAATAACGATATTCATACAAACTATGGCACAAATATTGCTTTTATCTATAGAAATCTATCTTACACAATAGCTTCCATACAAGGTCTCCTTCTCAAAATCACTTAAACGGATATTTCTCATTACTTTTGGTTCGGGAACGAAATTTAAAAAATGAAGGTTAATACAAATATGTTCGATTTTTTTATTCAATGACTAATTGCTATCATCGATCAAAATCTCAATAACTAGTCAAAGAGATTTTTTTAAAATCCCCATAATAAATTTCAATTAAACTCTTCATTTCCAAAAATACCAAGAGCCAAAACTTTGTGAAAAAAAACTGAAGTAATCGTCAAGTAATTGTTTCCTTCACAGTGAAGTTATAAAAAAATAATGCTAAATTTTTGTGAATCAAACTTTG